CACACACACACACACACACACACACACACACAGTTAGATAGATACACATGCACACATACACAAACACACTCTCAGACATATTTGGAGGACTGCTAGAATGGTTTTGTAATTATATGTGTTTTTTAGAAAAAAATACGCAAAGGAAATAGTTGCATTTCTTGTGCAACTGCCTCTCTGTTCTTTCTGATCAGGGGAGAGGTCAAAAGAAAAGGAAGTTGTAGCATGCTCCAAAGAAGCTGAATTAGAAAATGTGGAAGTTATTTCTGAGTCAGTCAGCCTTTTACACAGTTCAAAAACACCATCCGCAGAACAGGGAGGGGATGGTAGATTTCTGAATCCCAAAGGACCAGGAGTAAGGTTAACAACATCTGGATGAGCGAAAGGAGAGTCATGAAGATGGACTTGGATGGATAAGCAAGAAACCCAATTTGGATTGGACTTTCTGGAAAGTCCCAATCTACTTTGTCCCCTGTAACTCACACATGCTTCACTTAACTTTTGGATGGTCCCTAATTTTCTTTTAATTGGCTATTTGTCGTTTCCAGTTTCCTGGCAGACTTGAACACTGGGCCCTATCTAACAAAATGAAATCCAATGTAGAAAAAAGTAAAGTCTTACACATATAGACTGTGTGAAACCAGGCTTCATAGCAGTGACTGTGAGAGTGTATATGGAGTCACCCAGTTTATATGTGTATATGGAGTCTTAATGGGCAACCAATTAAATATGAGTCAGCAGTGTGGGGCTGCAGCCAAAAAAGCCAATGAAACACTAACTTGCATTAACAGAGGGATACAATCAAGATCAAGTGAGGTACTAATACCATTCTACAAACCTTAGTAAGACCACACCCATAATACTGCATCCAGTTTTGGCCACTACACTATAAAAAAAAGATGTTGAGACTCTAGAAAAAGTGCAAAGAAGAGCAATCAAGATGATTAGCGGACTGGAGGCTAAAATATAAGATGAACGGTTGCAAGTACTCAGCACAGCTAGTCTAGTGAAGAGAAGGACTAGGGGAGACATGATGGTAGTGTTCCAATATATGAGGGGCTGCCACAGAGAGGAGGGGATCAACCTATTTTCCAAAGCACCCGACAAGGTGCTAAGGATGGAACAAGGAATAATGAATGGAAATTGATCAAGGGGAGATTCAACCTGGAAATAAGGATAAATTTTATGACAGTGAGAACCATCAACCAATGGAACAGAAGTTGCCTTCAGAAATTGTGGGAACTTCATCGCTGGAAGCTTTCAAGAAAAGACTGGACTGCCATTTGTCAGAAATGGTATCAGGTCTCCTGCTTGGGCAGGGGGTTGCACTAGAAGACCTAGAAGGTTCCTTCCAACTCTGTTAGTCTGTTAATCTATTAAAGTTGTGAGTTTATGGGTGAGGCTAGAAGGCTACTTAGAGATTGAGAGATTGGGAACCACTTACTGTATATCAGGCTTCTCCAACTTTGTGGAAAATGGAAAAGGAATTTGTGAGACCACTCTGTTCAAAGGTTTGCAAATGTTTTGCTTACAAAGCTGGGTGAGCTTTAAGAGTGATTTTCCTCTGCAAACCTGATCACTTGTTATTTTTTTTAATGGATTCCCCAAATTGCAATGTCCCAAGAATGTCCCAAACCTCCAGTTTGAGAACCTCTTGTCTTCTTCATATAAAACTTGGTCACTCTCCAGAGTTCTTCTCATTTCTCCAGCAATATTCAGTCACTAATGCTATGGATTTATCTGCTGCAGCAACACGGAATATTCAGAAATATTCTAAGTAGGAGAGCAAGACTTCATCAAGCATTATAAAGCAAGATACATTTTGTCTTAGCGTTCATCACTAGAACAAATGTGTTTGCTATCAGGTTTACTCTAGGAGGTATACAATTTATTTCCCAGTTCATGGTATGTTCATGTTCGTTCTCCATGCAATTTGGTTTTGTGGGGTCACATAATCATTCAGCTGGTAAGGAATGTATTTGCAGGATCAATCTTGGGCCCTCCCAAAACTATACCATATAAGCATGATGGCGAACCCATGGCAGGTGCTCCACAGGTGGCAAGCAGAGCCCTCTCTGCGGGCACATGAGCCAGCCCAGCTCCACTGTTTTCGGGTCTCTGCTGCACATGCACATGGGAGGAGCATGCAGGGGAATCATGTGCATATGTGTGGGGTGTGCAGGGGTATGCAGGGGGTCGTGCATGCATGCATGGGGGGAGAGGGTCATGGGGGTCACACATGCAAGCACAGGGGCAGGTCACATGTGGAAGGTGCACACACATGTGCAGGGGTGGGGAGCGTATGGGGGCATCATGGTTCTGCGTGTGTGTGCTTTCAGCACACAATGACAAAAAGGTTAGCCAACACTGCCATAAAACATCTATGCTGCAAGAGCTGCATTGGCTTCCAGTTTGCTTCTGGGTCCAATTCAAAGTGTTGACTATGACTTTTAAAACCCTACATATCATGGGGCCAGGTTATCAATGCAACATCTTCCCCCCATTATATCAGTCCCTCCCATCTGGTCAGTTAAAGGATTCTGATTGGTGGGATCCAGGAAGAAAGTCTTCTCTGCTGTTGCCTCCCCCCTTTGAAATATGGTCCCACAAAAATTGAGGCAGCCTCCAATCTCCTGGTCTTTTAGAAAGGTTTGCAAACATAGGGCTGGATGGTTCCCAAGTGGCCTCCCCTTGCTTTTTAATTCACTTTTATTATTGTCTTTTAATTATCCTTGCCTCTTACTAAAATTTTACATACAGTTTTAATGTATTAATATTTTATTTGTACACCATCAAGAGCCTTTTCTAATTCTGTTATTCTGTTATCCCTCTCTGGGCAGTTTCTAATTTGATAATTAGCTATCTAACTAATAGATGGAGATGGAGAAAAGAAGGAAATGTTGAGAATGGAATTCAAATCTTTATAAAATTCACTTTGCTTTTCTTCACATTATTATTGTACAATTGTATCACAGCGGCCAGTTGTTTCGCCGGATTTGGCATTGGTTACTAGTCGGGCCCCACCCAGGGGCCTAGGACGTCGTAACGTATTTTCGTAATATGCGTGCAGATCCAAGCAGTGCGGCTTTTTGCATTTGACTGATGGTGATTTTGTCAATTTTTAACTGTTTTAAATGTAATTCCAGTGCTTTTGGAATAGCACCCAGTGTGCCAATTACCACTGGAATTACCACTGCTGGTTTGTGCCATAGTCGTTGAATTTCGATTTTTAAGTCCTGGTATCTTGCGATTTTTTCATGTTCCTTCTCGGCGAATTATTATTATTATTATTATTATTATTATTATTATTATTATTATTATTATTATTATTATTATTATTATTATTATTATTATTATTATTATTATTATTATTATTATTATTATTATTATTATTATTATTATTAAAAAGGAAACGGTCGTCTGTGTTTTTAAAAATAGATTAATCCCCCTCTTTAACTGAGAAATGCAGAGAAGTGAGGCTCATCAAAAACATATTTGGAAGAAAGCTTTTAGATGCCTTGATAATTTATTTAGGAAATTTCTAAGCTAACACATGTCCTTCCACTTTGCACATGTGCAGGCATGAAGTCAGATGACTTGATCAAACCCAGCCTTCATTGGGTAGGGGAGATAAACCGATCCTTGATGGTTTATTGTTATAAATGCTCCAACACTGGAAGTTTTTAAGAAGAGATTGGATACCCATTTATCTGAAATGGTATATAGGGTTTCCTGTCTAAGCAGGAGGTTGGACTAGAAGACCTCCAAGATCCCATCCAACTCTGTTATTCTATTGTATTCTAATTCCTATTACTATTCTTTTCCTTTCCATTCCATTCCATTCCTATTGCTATTCTTTTCTTTTCTATTCTATTCCTATTCTATTCCTATTCTATTCTTTTGCCTCATTTCTGTATTTTTTAAAAAAGCAATTTTCCCTGGTGAGAGAGAACTGTCACTGTCAGCTATACATCAATGTTCCTTCCATGATCCAAAACTAAACACTGGCTTTAAATTAAACCATCTTCCCCTATTAAATTAAATTATCCCCTATTGAGTGTCTTCCAAAAGTTTTGATCTACAGCACATTCCCAATCAGTATGTTATTGGCTGTCCTCATGTGCTTTCTATAAGAGATGCATGGTACAGCTTTTCAGTCTTCTTCTTACATAGCTTTATCTGGAAACTGAAGAAGGAGAGATTCAACCTGGAAATAAGGAGAAATTTTCTGTCAGTGAGAACAATCAACCAGTGGAACAGAAGTTGCCTTCACAAGATATGGGGGCTTCGTCACTGGAGGCTTTCACGAAGAGACTGGAGTGCCATCTGTCAGAAATGGTGTAGGTAAGGCCTGCTTGGGTGGAGAGTTGGAATAGATTACCTACAAGGTCCCTTCCATCTCTGTTAATCTGTATCTCTAAGCCATAGTTTACACCTGATACAAGATTTTTGCTTGCAAACATTAGGAAGCCTCCAATCTCGTTCATCATGCTAAGATTGAAGTCATCTGTCCTGACTGTCCTCATCAAAGGGTGAAACAAGTTATATTTGGTAGCTTTCAAAAGGGATGCACTCTATGGTTCTGTGGAGGTCTGAGAAGGGAAGAAACTCAGAAGATACAAAGAGGTTGTGAAAGAGAAAGTATCCACGGAGAGAAGGGGAGAGGAAGGAAGCCTTCAGAAGGAGGACTTTCTTGACAGGAAGAGAAGAGGAATTAAGCCAGAGATGTCGGTGAAGGCCTGAAGTTAAACCTCTCCGGTCAGAAAGAAGTCGACAAGGACAGAGAAAGGTACTCATGCTTATGTAGTATTCTTGGTGGGAAGTCAAAAAGAGGAAGAGAAGTGAACTTTCTCCATGCATCGTGGCTCTTATCTCAGATCTGCTCTGGTATTCACTGCAGCCAAAGATCAATTCTGCCCATGGTGTTGAAAAGTGTCAAAATGGGTGACTTTTAGACCCCGCCTTAGGTGGCCTCATGGTTACATTCTGTGCCACAGGGTTCAAGTCACTCTTCAGTTTCCCCAAAATGGCTGGAAGGCAGCTGGGAGATCTCCTGTCCTTTCGCTCCTGCCCTCTTGTCTGCCCCACCCCATCCCTCAATTACATTTCACTGGCCCATTGGGCCAGTAGGAAGTAGAGGAGGACGAGTGGGTGGTGGTTAGTTGTATACCATGCAGGGAGTCTAAATGGTGCAGTGAACATGCCATGATTTGACCCAAGAAGTCTAGGAAGGAGCTCCTGCTGGGGTGGGAAAGCTACTTGCCTTGATCACCAAAACTGTCAGCAGGAGGGATTGAGGCAGTGAGGGTAACACACTAATATCTCTGACCCTAAAGGTGGTTTTCCCAAAATGTTTGTTTGCCTGCAAACTCTGCTTTATTTCTATCAATTTTGGTGAGGTGGCTTTCTGATAAGTTCTCAAGATCTTTCATAAGACGAACTTCTTAATTCAAAAAGTGTCCATCATTTCTCGCTTTGGCTGCCTACATTAATCCTCATTATATTTGTAGTGGAGACAAAGGAACTTGGCTTCTTCACAAGGATGGGTATATTAAAAGTAAGGACCTTCCCTCTCCAGAATCACATTTCCCGTGATTCTGACTAACCAAAGAACTCCAGAAGGCCCAAATCACCAAACAAGCAACTCCTTTCTCATTATTCCTCACCTGACCCGTGACTTGTTTTAACTTTTAAAGTTTATTGCAAAGTTCAGCAACTTCTTCAGGTAGAGACAACAATTGTGTTTGTGTGTGTGTGTGTGTTTGTTTGTTTGTTTAAGGCTGAATTCTTATGAGGCAATCCTAAAAATCTAGAGAACTAGGGAAAGTGTAATCTGAGATGCTTTCTCATATTCCATTCCTGTTTGGCTACAGACCATTTCCTGACCATTACCTTGGCTGAGATTCTTCCTCCCCTTCTTCATTATGTTTGCCATTTCTAGTTCCCATCAGACAATAAAAGTTGCTCCAAACTTGTGTTCCTTAGCATTATAACAGGCCTGCCCCAATCTAGATACAGACAGCAGAGTGACTAGGAATCCTGAGAGTTCCAATCCTAGCATTTTGGGACAACAATAGACTGGGAACTGATCACAATCATCATGTCCGCCTTGCTCTCCTAAGTTTTTCACCTGGATCAGAGATGTTCAACTGGAAATACCTGGGCTTGGGGTATGCCCCAATAGCACCAGGTGTGATTCCCCAACATGAATTGTGTGCTTTGCAGAAGGAAGAGAACATATAGGGAGAAATCACAGCTTTCCTTTATTTTGGTTTTTACTGAATGTAAAGATGCATTTGTTGTAGTCCATCACAAGCGGAGCTGGCAATAGATGTGGACAGTAAGGAGGTTGGGGAGGAACATGGGCCCGTCCTGGAGTCTGGGGAAGGCTCTGATGAGGGCTCTGTGTCGGAGGCAGAGAGGGAGCCAGAGCCGGATGCCAGCTATCAGCTGCCTTCAGAGCCAGACATCAATGAGGCAGACGAACAGCTGGAGCCTGTTCCCAGTGTGTGCATGCACAGAGTTACCAGACGAAGGGAACAACTAAGCTAACAGGGGTCGACTTGGGAGTAAGGCCAGATGATGAATGGCCCCTCCCAGAGGAAATAAAAGAGGAGCAAAAGGGGAGTGGAGTTTGCAGGAGAAAATTAGTTCGCTTAATTGTGTCGTGACTCTCCGAGACTCCTTGCCAAGTTCTGCAGATATCGGCCTGTCAGGTCTCCGCCAGATAAGGTCTGTGACTGTAAAATCCTCCCTCAAAAGACTTTGTTGGATGTGAATGAGCATAATTTACAGTAAATTAATAAAAGGGGTTTTTGTCGAGACAAGGAGTTTATTTCATGATCTTGGGAAGCTTAAGTCAGAACAGCATTTAATTAAATCTGAAGTCATATTTGTCCTCGCCTTGACCACATTTGTCCTTGGTCCAGTTGAAGTGTGGTCCTTGGCATAGCACTTCAAAGTCAACCATGGTCCTACTTAGCTCCAAAGAACCTATATTTTTATCTTCCTTTCTCTTGAAAACAGCCATTAATATGCCAGATTATTGAGACGCAACTATTGGTGGCCGATGAAGATTTGGGAAGAATGGCTGTTCCCAATGAGTTCTATGAGCAGATCAGTGAGGAGCACCTGGAGAACTTATCCTTTATTGGCCGAGGCTCTTTTGGAGACATTTTCCGAGCTCGCCACCAGAAGTGGGGGACCGATGTTGCAGTAAAGTTTCTGAACAGGTAATAGTGGTTGCTTCGAAGTTGTTTGAGTGCAAAGATTGAAAGTTAGACTTTTTGTTTCTCTTGCCTGGCCTTTAGATATAGCCCTTGTTGTTTTCATTCATTGCAAATTTGTGACCAACCCATTGTGACCCCATTGAGAACGTTGTTCCAGGCCAGTGGTGGGATTCAAATAATTCAACAACCAGTTCTCTGCCCTAATGATCAGGTGGGTAAGCAGAGCTTGGTGTTAATGTGACAGAGTGGGCATGGCCAACTCAACGTCACATTGATGGGCACTTCACCTTAGCTGTTACAATATAATAAGGGTTAACCGGAGAGGCAGTTTCTGTAAGCAGGGCAATAAAGATTAGGCTAGAAACAACACCAAAATGTTTCCTTCCTGTCTTCCTTACAGGATTAGCCTGGTAAAATGTAAAAAAAAAAAATCAAAATTATATTTCTTCCAACAACCAGTTCTCCGAACTGCTTAGAAAGTTAACAACCGGTTCTCCCGAATAGGTGCAAACTGGCTGAATCCCACCACTGCTCCAGGCCTTCCTGTCCTCTACCATCCTCTGGAGTCCAGTTAAGTTCACACCTACTGCTTCAGTGACTCAATCCAGCCACCTCATTCTGTCATCCCCTTGTTCTTTTGCCCTCAATCATTCCCAGCATTAGGCTCTTCTCCAGTGAGTCCTTCCTTCTCATTAGGCGGCCCTAATGAGATCTTCAAACATTGTTCACGCATTATAAATTTGAATGGGACAGAAGGGAAAATAATGAAATATAGGATTTGAGAGCAATTTGATAGCAGTAGATTAAAACATACGAGGAACTGCGGCTGGATTTGGGTTTGGCTAGTCTAAAGAAAATAAGAATTAGGGGTGACATCATAGCATTTATTCCAGTGTTTGAGGGGCTGCAACAAAGAAGAGGGGGTCAATTTATTTTCCAAAGCATCAGAGGGCAGGCCAAAAAAAAACAATGGATGGAAATTAATCAAGGAGAGAAGCAACCTGGAATTTAAAAAAACAAACAAACTTCCTAGCAGGGAGGACAATGAACCAGTGGAACAGCTCGCTTCCAGAAATCATGGGCGCTCCATCACTGGATGTTTTTAAGAAAAGTCTAGACAGTGGTATAGGTTCTCTTGCTTGAGCAGGAGCCTGGACTAGAAGACCTCCACGGTCCCTTCCAGCTCATTCTATTCTATATTCTAAATATCATTACTGGAGTCCTGACTGCAACTGCTTCTTGGGCCCTGCCTAAAATGGAGGGCTGATTTCAAACTTGAAATCTTTTCTGCAAGTCCTTAATTAATAAGTACCTCCTTCCTTCCCCCATATCAACTCTGCTATTCCTCAGCATCACCATGTTTTCATTACACCTACAATAATCCCAGTGGTAGGATTCAAAAAAAATTACTACCAGTTCTATGGGTGTGGCTTGGTAGGTATGGATTGGTGGGCATGGCAAGGAAAGGTTACTACCAAATCCCCATTCCCTCCCCACTCCTGGAAAATGTTACTGCAAAATCCCCATTCCCACCCCACTCCTGGTGGAAGGATACTGCCAAAATCCCCCTTCTCTTCCCACTCCTGGTGGAAGGATATTGCAAAATCTCCATTTCCATCCCACTCCAGGGAAAGGATACTGCAAAATCCCCACTTCTGGTGGAAGGATACTGCAAAATCCCCATTCCCTCCCCACTCCTGGGGGAAGGATATTGCAAAATCCTCATTCCCTCCCCACTCCTGGGGGAAGGATCCTGCAAAATCCCCATTCCCTCCCCACTCCTGGGGGAAGGATACTGCAAAATCTCAATTCCCACCCCACTCCAGGGGATGGATCCTGCAAAATTCCCATTCCCTCCCCACTCCTGGGGGAATGTTAATGCAAAATCCCCACTCTCTCCCCACTCCAGGGGAAGGATATTGCAAAATCCGCATTCCCTCCCCACCTGACTAAGCTGCTTTCCAGCTCCTTTCTCCTGTGCAGGGAAACAAAAGAAGACACAGCTGCTTAGCTGGTAGGTAGCAATAGATCAACCATGCTGATCAGCTGGGATGGGGATGGGGCCAGCCACAGGTGGCATTTTCTGGTTCTCTGAACTACTCAAAATTTCCACTACCGGTTCGCCAGAACCAGTCACAACTGGCTGAATATCACCTCTGAATAATCCTCCAACAGAATTGAAATTCCTATACTTCCTGCAGAAATGCTACCTTCACTCGAGAAGAACTCTTGAATGAAGCCCGAGCCATGGACAAAGCCCGCTTCAACTACATCTTACGACTCTACGGCCTCTTTGTAGGCAAACTACAGACAGATGCTGCCTTGACGTCAGCCACAATGCCCAGCTTGGGCTTGGTGATGGAATACATGGAGAATGGCAATTTGTCCAACTTAATGTGTCAGGTCCCCTCCATGCCTTGGGCCCTGCGTTTCCGCATCCTGTATGAGATAGCTCTGGCTATGAATTTCTTGCACAGCCTCGATCCTCCATTGTTACATCTGGACCTCAAGCCTAGCAACATCTTACTCGATGGGGAACTGCATGTCCGGGTGAGTTTTCCCACTTGTATTTTTTATTCTAAAGCTGTTAGCTCCCCTAGAATTGCACAGTGACGTAATTTATCTGAGTTTGTTGCATAAATCAAATCCAAAAAGCACATAGAAGGTCATTTGAACTTCCATGAGGCTGGTGATTGGAGCTGTTTTCTATGGTTCCACCACAAAACCGCATTCGACTAAAGTGCACTCGACGAAACCGTGTAGCTGACGTCATCACAGCGCGACGAAAAAAGCACACTGTAAACGCTAAAGCTAAAATTAACCCCTAAACCTAAACCTAACCCTAAACCTAACCCTTACCCTAACTCTAAACCTAACCCTAAACCTTAACTTAACCCTAAACCTAACCCTAAACCTAA